TCTCTGACTACGGTTATCCAGCCAATTATGCACCCACCTTATCGTGGCCCTATCTAAGTTATATTTGCCTAGTTTATCAATAAGAATATCATGCGAGACCGTATCAAATGCCTTACTAAAGTCTAGGTATATGACATCCACCGCTTCTCCCTTATCCACAAGGCTCGTTATCTTATCAAAGAAAGCTATCAGATTAGTTTGGCATGACTTGTTCTTCACAAACCCATGCTGGCTATTCCCTATCACTTTATTACCTTCCAAGTGTTTGCATATGATTTCCTTAATTACCTGCTCCATTATCTTCCCTGGGACAGACGTTAAACTGACCGGTCTGTAGTTTCCTGGGTTGTTCTTATTCCCCTTTTTATAGATGGGCACAATATTTGCCCTTTTCCAGTCTTCTGGAATCTCCCCTGTCTGCCATGATTTTTCAAAGATCATAGCTAAAGGCTCAGATACCTCCTCTATCAGCTCCTTGAGTATCCTGGGATGCATTTCATCAGGACCTGGTGACTTGCTGACATCTAACTTTCCTAAGTGATTTTTAACTTGTTCTTTGTGTATCCTATCTTCTAAACTTACCCTCTCTCTGCTTGTATTCACTACGTTAGGCACACCTCCAGACTTCTCGGTGAAGACCGAAACAAAGAAGTCATTGAGCATCTCCGCCATTTCCAAGTTCCCTGTTACTGCTTCTCCCTCCTCGCTAAGCAGTGGGCCTACCCTGTCCTTGGTCTTCCTCTTGCTTTTAATGTATTTATAAAAGGTCTTCTTGTTTCCCTTTATGCCTGTAGCTAGTTTGATCTCATTTTGTGCCTTTGCCTTTCTAATCTTGCCCCTGCATTCCCGTGTTGCTTGCCTATATTCATCCTTTGTTATTTGTCCTAGTTTCCATTTTTTATGAGACTCCTTTTTTATTTTGAGATTGTGCAAGATCTCCTTGTTAAGCCAAGCTGGTCTTTTGCCATATTTTCTATCTTTCCTACACAGCGGAATTGTTTGCTTTTGGGCCCTTAACAACGTCCCTTTGAAATACTTCCAACTCTCCTCAGTTGTTTTTCCCTTCAGTCTTGCTTCCCATGGGACCTTACCTACAAGTTCTCTGAGCTTATCAAAATCTGCCTTCCTGAAATCCATTACCTCAATTGTGCTGGTCTCCCTTCTACCTTTCCTTAAGATCATGAACTCTATTATTTCGTGGTCACTGTCCCCTATACTGTCTTCCACTTTCAAGTTCTCCACTAGTTCCTCCCTATTTGTTAAAACCAAATCCAGAACAGCTTCTCCTCTGGTAGCTTTTTCAACCTTCTGAAACAGAAAGTTGTCTCCAATGCAGTCCAGAAACTTATTGGATAGCCTGTGCCTCGCTGTGTTAGTTTCCCAACATATGTCTGGATAGTTGAAGTCCCCCATCACCACCAAATCTTGGGCTTTGGATAGTTTTGTTAATTGTTTAAAAAAGGCCTCATCCACCTCTTCCACCTGGCTAGGTGGCCTGTAGTAGACTCCTAGCATGATATCACCCTCGTTTTTTACCCCTTTTAGCTTAACCCAGAGACTCTCTACACAGCTATCTCCTACGTCAATCCGCCCTGCCAAGACCTGGCTTGCTCCTTTCATGGAGACGAGGGACCAGTAGCTGCCTGAGAGAGAATCACAGAGGATGAGAGATGGAAGCCATTGCTCTACACTAGGGAGCTATTTCAAAATAACAAGTGGAACATCCACGCTGCCAAGCCCGTTATTTCGAAATCTGCGCTTCTCGGGGAATAACATTTCACTTGAAATAGTTACAGCTTCTTCCCAACTTACGAACCGGTTACGGACCAAGCAATTGGTCGTAACTCGGTTTGTTCATCAGTTGGACCCTGCTGAGTTACACGCGACCGCGCTGTTCGTAAGCGTGGATCGCGTTCATAACTCAGGGTCCGCCATTTACTACAGTTTTGGTCGTAACTGCAAATGGTTGTAAGTCGATCGTTCGCAACTCGGGGACTGGCTGTATTTTGAAATGGGGTAGTGTGGACGCTCCGTTGCTGCTATTTTGAAATAACTGCTCCCCAGAGACATTTGCCAATGAAGTACTTTGTGACGGGGTGAGGCAACCCCACCACTCCTTCATGCCAGGGGACGCGGGCGCTGACAATGGGGCGGAGGACGCCAGCCAGATGGAGCAGGGATGGAAGGCCGGCCGAGAGGCCGACCGTCATCCAGGTGCGACTGGGATACCCGCTGACGTCAGCAACGCGACGCCAGGGGGAGGCGGGGCACCCGGAAGTGCGCAGGCGTCGGAAGAGGCAGTGGAGGATACAAAGGGTGGGAAAGTGGCGCAGAAGGGGGGGGAACAGCACAGAGGGAGGGGGACGCCGAGGAAGCGCGAGGGGTCCCGGTAAGAAGGTGGAGGTGGGACGTGGGCTAGACCCGCTGGCGGGGTTGACAGCAACCCAGGGCGGGCTGTGAAACCCGAGAGCAGGCGAGTTTAGGGGCAAGCCCCCACCTGCTACCATCAGGAGCATTGAGTTCCTGGTGTTAGGGCCCTGGGTCGGGGTCCGGAGAGAGGGTGGGCCCGGACCCCCCACCCCGCCACCAGGGCGAGCGATATTTCGGCTGGTGAGGGCCAAGCCCCCACCTGCTACCATCAGGAGCATTGAGTTCCTGGTGTTAGGGCCCTGGGTCGGGGTCCGGAGAGAGGGTGGGCCCGGACCCCCCACCCCGCCACCAGGGCGAGCGATATTTCAGCCGGTGCTAGCCGATACCCGGGTACGTTGGGGAAGGGGGACCCCCAAAAAGGGGGGTGACCTGTGACACTTACTCCCCAGTGCTTCCAGGGGCTCTGAGTCGAGGTAGCGCGTCCACCTTAAGGGAGCCTGCCTCGGACTCATTGCGAGGCTCCCCCATCGTGGGAACGTGCTACTTCGGTTTTGTTATTTCAGGAGTTATTATTTTGAATTTAGTTATTTTGAAATAATTCCCTGGCGTAGACATGCCTGAAGAGACCTCAGAAAGCATCTAGTCCAACTGCTGCTCAAAGCACGACCAACCCCAACTAAACCATCCCAGCCAGGGCTTTGTCAAGCTGGGACTTAAAAACCTCTAGGGATGGAGATTCCATCCCCTCCCTAGAGTTTTTCCTAATATCCAACCTAGACCCCCCCCTGTAACTTGAGACCATTGCTCCTTGTTCTGCCATCTGTCACTACTGAGAACAGCCTCCCTCCATCCTCTGTGGAACCCCCTGCAGGGAGCTGAAGGCTGCTTTCAAATCCCCCCTCACTCTTCTCTTCTGCAGACTAAATAAGTCCAGGACACAGTACTCCAGGTGTGGCCTCACCAGAGCCAAATAAAGGGGAATAATCACTTCTCTAGATCTGCTGGCAATGCTCCTCTTAATGCAGCCCAATATGCCATTAGCCTTCTGTGCTACAAGGACACCCCATTGACTCATATCCAGCTTCTCATCCGCTGCAGTCCCAGGTTGTTTTCTGCAGAGCTGTGAGAAGTGGGACCTGTGGAGCAGCAGAGTGACAGGCTGGTGGAGGGGCTAGGATGTAGAAAATGCCCCCAATCTCGCTTAGGTTTGTTACCAGTTCCGGGGGTGGGAGAAGCCATCTTTGGGGTTACCTGGAAGCCTTCGGGGTCCAGGCATGGCCCTGACTCTCCAATGTCTCCTCTCATGGCCCCCAGCCCCTTTGGGCTATCAGCTCTCCTGCCCTGAGCCTTCTCCCAGAGACCAACGGGCCTCTGTGCCTGGAGAGCCCCTGCCAGGCAGCTCTGCCCCAGCCCCGCTGGCTCTGGGGAGCGAATGGGGCGACCGGCCCAGGGCTGAGCCCCATAAAGGGGGAGAACCAGCCTGCTGGAGGGAGGGATAGTGTTGGGCCCCTCCCCAGCCTAGATCCTGGCACATGAGCTGTGGGATTCATGGAGACTCAGTGATCCCATCAGCTGAATCTACACACCCCTTTTGGCCAAGCCCTGAGCAAACCTGCAGTCCCTGGAGGTGGCAGGGGGACAGCCAGCAGCAAACCCAGCCTGGGGAAAGGCAGCTGGGACAGAACAGAGCCAGGGCATAGCCTGCCATGAGCCACATGGGCATGGCGATGTGCAGAACTGGGTAGTGTTGCCGTGGCAGAACGAGGGGGTGGGGATGGGTGATGCACAGAACCGGGTGGGGGGGATGCACAGAACTGAGGGGAGATGCACAGAACCAGGCAGGGGAGATGCACAGAACTGAGGGAGGATGCACAGAACTGAGGGGAGATGCCCAGAACTGGGGGGGGGGGATGCACAGAACCGAGCAGGGGAGATGCACAGAACTGAGGGAGGATGCACAGAACTGAGGGGAGATGCCCAGAACTGGGGGGGGGGGATGCACAGAACCGAGCAGGGGAGATGCACAGAACTGAGGGAGGATGCACAGAACTGAGGGGAGATGCCCAGAACTGGGGGGGGGGGATGCACAGAACCGAGCAGGGGAGATGCACAGAACTGAGGGAGGATGCACAGAACTGAGGGGAGATGCACAGAACCAGGCAGGGGAGATGCACAGAACTGAGGGAGGATGCACAGAACTGAGGGGAGATGCACAGAACCGGGCAGCGGTGATGCACAGAACAGGACTGGGGGGCCAATACGGGGAATCACCCAGTGCACAGGACTGTCTCGCACAGCCGTGATGCCACAACTCCCCAGGCTGTGAGGCTCCAGGTTTTCGGGCTGGGGCCCTGGGTGAATTCATCTCTCACCCACTCTGCCCCCGCCCAGGCCCCAAGACACAATGGGAACGTGGAGCCCAGCCCCTGGTGCTATAAGGAAGGGGTGATGGGTTCCCAGTGGCACAGCCCCAGCCATTGCGCAGGAGAAATCTCCACCCAGCTCCTGGCCCTGCACTCATTCTCTGGGGCTATAAATAACAGCCGAGATTCCGCAGAATAAATAATCAAAGGTCACCCAGTACCTGAGAAACGCTCTCGGCCCGGGCGGTGGGGGTAACCTGTGCGTCTGAACTGAGGCCTCACCCAGCAGGTGACACTTTGGGGACAGGGAGGGGGCTGGGAGCCAAGACTTCTAGGTTCTCTGCCTGGCTCTGGGAGGGGAGTGGGGGCTGGTGGTTAAAGCAGGGGGACTGGCTGGGTTGCTGAGTCACTGATACTTTTCCCTTCTCTCTCCTGGGCCTTGCCCAGTTTTGCCCTCGGTAATGAGTATAAAATCTGTGTGCACAGCCCTGGGGCGGGCACTGCCCCTCTGCCCACAGGGCAGCACGAGAGTGAACTCACCAGAGTGCAACGTGCCAACCAGCGGCATTGCACAAAAGAAATGGCTGCAGGATGGGGGGCGTATATGGGTTGTGGTTTAGGGTCAAAGTCACGAACAGGTTTGGGACAGGCCCAGTGTGGGGGGGACACATTTAGGGGTTAGGGCTCAAGCCCAGTCTTGGCTTAGGGGACAGGCTCTGTTGCGAGTCAGAGGTCAGGGATAGGGGCTTACAAACAGAACACCAGCCAGGCTGAGTCAGATCCAGCCCCCCCCCCCATGTGCCCTGCCGTTGTGGTTTAGGGTCAAAGTCACGAACAGGTTTGGGACAGGCCCAGTGTGGGGGGGACACATTTAGGGGTTAGGGCTCAAGCCCAGTCTTGGCTTAGGGGACAGGCTCTGTTGCGAGTCAGAGGTCAGGGATAGGGGCTTACAAACAGAACACCAGCCAGGCTGAGTCAGATCCAGCCCCCCCCCCCATGTGCCCTGCCAGGCCCCAGTGCCAGGTGCTTCAGGGTGGGGGGCAGGCCCATCATATCTCTGGGAAGGCAGAGGTTTCAGAACGCCCTGAGCAGAGGCTGCATCAGTGACCCTGAGCAAATAGCCAGCAACAGCAGGTCCATCAATAAGAGAGGGCTCAAAATTTAGGAACAAGGGGGAGGCTAAGCACCCCTCCCCCATCCCAACCTGCAGCCCCACAGTGGCACTGGAGCCAAAGGGAGAGGAGCCCAGCAGAGCTAACACCTCGCCCATCCCACACAGCTGATGCCAAGGTGCCAATATTTGCTCAGGGATAAATACTGGGGAGAAAATCAAACAGGGCCAGGCAGGGGGGACCCAGCTGACAGGGACAGGATGGGCAAACAGCTCCCTGTGCCTGCATCAGGGGCTGGAACAGCCTCTTCCAGTAACCAGGCGCAGCCCCCATCACCAGGCAGCAGGAACACAAGAGGCTCCAGGTAACAGCCTCTGCCAGACTCAGACATGGGGAGTGGGATGCCTCAGAGCCACCCACCTGTGGATGGGGTGGGGCTCAGGGGAGCTGTATGCCTGAGCCAGGGGCTCACCTCTGTGTCCCAGGATAACTGTAGCCAGGGGCTCATCTGTGAAGGGGGTGGAGTACAGGGAAGCTGGACACCTGAGCTAGGGGGTCACCTGTACAAGGGAGGGCTTTATACGTGAGCTCCCAGCTCCTCCCTACTTCAACTATCCTGCTCTCCACAGATTCAACCTCTATGGGGCCACTGCTCCCCTTCCCGACCCCCTTGGTACCATGCAGATTTAACTCCAGGGTCTCCTCCTCCCCTTGCACTCCCTTCCCTGCCTCCCACATGTAACCTCCCCCCTGTCCATTTACGGGTAGCCCATCCCCACCATAGCTCCTGCAGATGGCCCATGTGCCATAAGCTACTGTCCCCCTTCCTCCACGGACACCCCCTCTCTCACACACAAACACACCACGCCACACACACGTGCACACACACACAAGCACTCTGATGGAGTGAGCCCTGGAGTTGGAGCAAACTTTTTGGGGTGATTTTGGATTTGATCCGTGGCATGTGTGGGAGTAGGGGTGGGGAATGGGGCAGAGGAATAGTGGGGCCTCCCCTGGGGTGAAGCCAACCCTCCCCCCAACCCAGGTTTAAGGCCTGGGCCCCCATACATCTCACAGCTGCAGTGAAGCTTCTGTAGGGAACTGCTGCCCCCTGCTGGCTGTGGCCAGGAGAGAGAGAAAGAGTAAGAACATGACTCTGTGTGTGTGAGACAGATGAAGGGTATGTCTACACTACAAAGTTAATTCGAACTAACAGCCATTAGTTCAAATTAACTTTAATAGGCGCTACACAGGCAAACCGCTAGTTCGAATTTAATACCAACTAGCAGAGAGCTTAATTCAAGCTAGGTAAACCTCATTCTACGAGGACTAACGCCTAGTTCGAATTAAGTAGTTCGAATTAAGGGCTGTGTAGCCACTTAATTCGAACTAGTGGGAGGCTAGCCCTTCCCAGCTTGCCCTGGTGGCCACTCTGGGCACCACCAGGGAAACTCTTCTCCCCCCCCTCCCGGCCCCGGAGCCCTTAAAGGGGCACGAGCTGGCTATGGTGCTTGTGCCAGGTGCAAGCCTGCCAGCACCCAGACAGCAGACCCTACACCTGGCACAGGATGAGCCAGCCACCCGCTGCCACCCAGCCCTCCGCCTCTTCCCAGGACCAGGCTGGCAGCTCCCAGGAGCCTGCCTGGGGCCGCAAGAGGCAGGAACCCACCTGGTCAAGTGCGGAAATTGTGGACCTCATCGAGGTTTGGGGGGAGGCCTCCAACGTCCACGATCTCCGCACTAGCCACAGGAACGTGGCCGTATACAGCTGCATGGCTGACAGCCTGGCCGCCAGAGGCCACATGCGGACCCGGGAGCAGGTCTGCTGTAAAATCAAGGACCTGCAGCAGTCCTACTCCAAAGCCTGCCAGCCAGGGGCCGACTTGGAGACCTGCCCCCACTTTGAGGCCCTGGACCGCATCCTGGGGGCTCACGCCGTCCATGCCCCCCGGGTGGTGTTTGACCCCGGGGCAGAGGGCCCTGTCTCTGACACCGAAGAGGAGGAGGAGGACGTCGAGAGCCAGCAGCCTGCAGGGAGCCTGCCCAAGACCCAGGACCCCCGAGGCATCCCACAGAGCACATCAGCTGTGTCGTCCGAGGCAGAGGAGGGCTCCACATGTGAGTACCATCATGCTCCCCTTATGTGTACGGGGGGGTTGGGGGAGAGGGAGCCCAGGGACCATGTGCCTGGGCCTTGCCCACCATGGAGCATCAGCTGGGTGTCATGCAGGGGCCCTGGCGTTGCAGAGGGGGGCTGGGTTTCACCCACCTTGTCCCCAGGGAGAACTGACCGCTGCTCTTGTTTCACCACAGCCGCAGCACCTGGGACTG